TCGTCACAGGGTTACACCTTCAGCCTTGGTTCCGGCTCTGTTTCGTGGCGGGCTACTCGCTCGTCTTCTGTTCTGGGCTCCAGTTGTGAGGCTGAGATCTACGCTGGGGCTATGGCTGCACAGGAGTTACGCTGGCTCACCTACCTGCTGACCGACCTTGGAGAGCAGCCTCGTTCTCCTCCAGTCCTGTACGTAGACAACAAGGCCATGCTGGCCTTGTGTCGAGAGCAGCGACTGGAGCACAGAACGAAGCACATTGCCCTCCGCTACTTTCTTGCTCGTGAGCTGCAGCAGCGTGGACAGTTGCGACTTGCGTACGTGGCCTCTGAGGCCAACACTGCTGATGTCTTCACTAAGGCACTTGCGCCATGTGATCATCAGCGTTGTTGCACGCAGTTGGGTCTTGTGTCTGTCTTGCCTCACTTGCTCACTTCTTGACCTTGCTTGTACCTTCACCTATATATACTCTTGCTCTTACTTGCTTGGCTCTTGTATATCTTTATATATGATCTTGCATGTGAACTGGCCTTCTGGCCTTTTGAACTTGTGCTCGGAATGTGTGGTGACTTTGTGATCCACCCTGAGCTTTGCTTTGCTTTGCTTGACTGGTCTTGTGACCCCTTGTTCTCCCCCACTTTGCCTATGGGGGTGTGTCAGAACATTATAGCTTACTCATTTATGTAGGCTATAGTGGGGTATCCCATAGGGGGTACAACCAAGTTAGGGTTTCCTATTTGTACTCACTTCGTTCATAGTTCATTCACTTTGTACTACACCTCGGCATCGAGAGAAATTACAACGCATGGAAAATCTTCGACGTCCACTCAAAGGAAACAGTAGCAGCACGTGATGTGATCTTCTACGAAAGACTTGTCAGAATATTATCTTATTGTTCTAGCCTGTAGTGGGGTGCTCTATAGCGAGTACAACCCTTCTAGGGTTTGCTATTTGTATCCTCATTCTTGCTAGTTCAATCCTCTTTCTTTCTTCAAACTTTGACAAGACTCACCCTTCAGACGTGTCAGAATAATATATAAATCTATATATTGTTTTGTAACTGCCTGTAGTGTAGACTACTGTAGTTATATAATGTTATGTTTTGATGGTGCACCTTTCCTGATTCTTCCCTATTTGTACCCTCGCTCAATATTGAATCATCCTTTTTTTTTGCAAACTCTCTCGACCACTTTTCTCTCGTCACTCTGGCCTAGGTCGAACCCTAGGCCTCAACTACTATTCTTGATATGGTATCAGAGCACGTCACATCCTGGCCTGCCTTATTTTTTAACTACGCCATGGGCCCACCGCGTATTCCTCGTTTCGTGGCTCCCGTCACGCCCTTAGTTGCGAATGACGTGATGGGCGCGACGGCGAGCTGCCTACTATCGTGGCGACGAGTTGGGCGGCTCGTTCTGCCCTGTTGCTCCGTCGCCCTGTCACCCGCCCCGCGCTACCCGCCCTCGTCCCGTTATGAGCTGCCACAGCCACACACAGCCGCGCGCAGCTGCGTACGGCCGAGTGCAGCTGCGCACAGCCGCGCGCAGCCGCGTATGGCCGCTCACTTGCCTCGCACCTGCTGCTCGTGCGCCAGTGCCAGGCGGGGGGAAGGGTGTGGGGTTGGCGCTTGGGTAACACTGCACCTGCCGTCGCTGTTCACCTTTTCCTCCCTCTCACTGCACCCGTGGGGGGAGGGGGAGTGTGAGAGGGTGGCGAGAGAGATTCTGCAATGCCAGCAGCCGCCCCTCCTCTCTCTCTCACTTCCACTCGTGCTGCTGTGGGGGGAGGGTGAGAGAGGGTGGCGGAAGACAGCCGGGTATCTGCTGCTGTCGCCCGTTGCTGCCGTAGCACCTCCAGCTGCCGCCCCTGCTACCACCTGCCTTTCCTACCTTTGCTTTTGCTACCTACTGTTGGGGCCTGCAGGTGCTGCCGTCGAGCCGCTGCTGTCCTGCTGCATGTTGCAGCCACAGAGCCTGTTCCTCAGGCGACCTGCCGCCCCAACACCTGCTAGTGTTTCTACCTTGGTCAAGGGGTTGGTACAGTTGGATCTGCCATCACTGCACCGGTTGCCACTGCACTTGCCTGTTACTGTGATTTCCGCTACGGCTTGTCTGGTGTACCCCATTATGGGGGCGTTGACTGCATATTCTCCCCTACAGGCACTTATGGGGGCGTGTCAGAATAATATATAAATCTATATATTGTTTTGTAACTGCCTGTAGTGTAGACTACTGTAGTTATATAATGTTCTGTTTTGGTGGTGCACCTTTCCTGATTCTTCCCTATTTGTACCCTCGCTCAATATTGAATCATCCTTTTTTTTGGCAAACTCTCTCGACCACTTTTCTCTCGTCACTCTGGCCTAGGTCGAACCCTAGGCCTCAACTACTATTCTTGATAAGACGTACCTCGCCAACTTGCACGAGAATCAGGACCCCACAGGTGGCTTTCGTGGTGACCGAGCCTTCGCCTCAGCATCGGACGAAGTAGGCTGGGATGAACAGAACGTTGACAACGCATCGGAGGAAGCCGGACCTCTTCCGTTCTGCTCCGTCGACGTGCCCATGGACGGAGAAAATCCTCGCGAAAGTAACAACGTCGACGTCTTCTACCACTTCGCCGACAATGGTTACGTAACACCTGCAACAGCCAACACCAACGAAGCAGAAAGGATAGGGCCAAATTTCATACCCGATCCAAAAGCGGGAGACGAAGCAGCCTATCCCGAGGACACAACTCTCCCCCGCTACTCACAGACCGGACTGCAAATCCTCGGCCTCGTCACCGCCGTCCATGGCTCCCTTCTTCCTAAAGAGCATGCGACAGTTCAAAGGGCTCTGGGGGGGGAACACAGAGAGAAATGGCGTGAAGTCATGGACAGAGAATTAAAAGCACTGGAGGAACGCAACACCTGGAAGGTCGTTCCCGCAAGCGTGGCAAGGAACAAGACCATACTTACCGGGAAGTGGGTCTTCCGCATCAAAACGAAAGCAGATGGTACAATCGAGAAGTTCAAGGCACGATGGGTCGTGCGAGGATTCGACCAGGAGCAAGGGCGAGACTTCACCGAGACATTCGCCCTAGTCAGTCGACATACCTCACTCCGAATCCTTCTCGCCGTCACCGCCATGAAGAAGAAGAAGCTAGCGACAAATTGATGTCGCCAATGCCTTCCTCTACGCACCTGTCGACGCCGACATTTTCGTCGAGCTCCCTCACGGTACCCACGGGGAACCCAATCAAGTCTGCCAACTACTAATGTCCCTCTACGGAATCAAGCAGGCCCCACGGCTGTGGCAACAACACCTGCACACCCGCCTCATCCGCATCAGATTCCGCCAACTGCCCCATGACCAGGGCATGTACCGACTCACTAAAGGCGCCAACTACATCCTACTCATCGTCTACGTCGACGATCTCCTCTACATCGGCTCCACCGACGACGTCACCACCTGGTTCGAAGGGGAGCTGCAGAAACATCTCACGCTCACGGTTTCTTCTACCATCACGTAGTATCTCGGGCTCAACATCCGCGAAGAAGAAAACGCAATCTACCTAAGCGCCGAGAAATGCGCCGACACGATCGCCAAGCGCTTTTCGCTCACACCTACCGCTATCGCCACGCCATACCGCTACACGGCAGGAAGTGACAAAGGAAACTCCGCTCCACTCAAAGGTGCCGGAATACGCGACTACCAGCGAAAACTGGGCTGCCTACTCTTCGCAGCCGTCACCTGCCGCCCAGACCTGTCCTACTCCGCTAGCCAGCTCGCTACCTACCTCAAGAGGCCTGAAGCAGATCACATGTCAGAGCTCGATCGCGCACTGCACTATCTCGTGAGCACACCGACGATCGGCCTGACTTACTACAAGAACGAAGTTGCGTCAACGAAACTAATCGGTTATGTCGATGCCGACCATGCCGGCGATCCAGATAACAGGCGCTCTCGCACCGGCTACGTCTATCGTCTCGAGCCTATCGGACCTATCTCTTGGCAGTCGAGTAAGCAGGAACTAATCGCTCTCTCTTCAGCTGAAGCAGAATATATCGCCCTCTGCTCAGCCACCAAGGAAGGACTCTACCTTCGCGAACTGCTGGAAGAAGCAAAGCTAGCTGAGTTACCCAGCTTCACCCTGCACTGCGACAACCAATCTGCAATTCGCATCGCCAACAAAAACGGATTCGCGAATAGAACGAAGCATATCGCTCTGCGATACTTCTTCGTGAAAGACGAGATCGAGAAAGGAAGACTCGAGTTATCCTACTGTCCCACGTCCAAGATGGCAGCCGACTATTTGACCAAGAAGCTCGGAAAACAGAAGTTCGAGTACTGCATGCTGCTGACTGGACAAAGCCACGTCACCATCAGCGACACTCCAGAAGCGAAGAGGAGTGTTGGGAACAATAAGTCTTAAAGCGCCTCTATCGTGTCGAAGCTCGGGACTCAAAGCGAAGCAGTCCAAATCGAAGCATCGTGAGTCAACCCTCGGAGGTTGGGAGTAACCGCCTGGAGGTTACACGAAGGTCAAAGGTCAGCGACCTTTGACTTGACCAATACAGCGCGACAGCAAGGACACACAACTGACTCGACATTGAGCAGTTGCCCGAGTCGCACTGTATCGAATCGCAACAGCAAGACAGCTATTATATCTATTCGTATTCCTTGTACTCTTATATAAAACCTTGTATTTGCTTGTTTTAATCAACTTACTTTGCCCTCACATACTAGCGCAAGGTGGTTCAAGGACCTTTACTCAACGCTTCCGCTATTACAATCCTACTCAGTCTTTAACTCTACAAAGATCCTTAGGGCTTCTCAGCCCAACACATTCAACACAAGGCATACGTTTTGAATACCGATACCGTACATGGATTTCCCTGAAAACACTCCAGACCAAGTACTGTAATTCGCCGCTTATGTAGATTGGAAACGACACACCACCTTTCACTGCTTGCTTTTATTAGTAAGGAGGTAACAAAAAGGCAACACTGAGGTGACATCTTAGCCCCCTTGAACAGCTTTGCTGATACCTTCGCCCCACCTTTTCATTTCTTCAACACTCCCTTCAACCGCCTCACAGGCGTCTTTCCCAAACCTATCCATTCCTTCTCCCATCCCCTTGGCCACTCTCCCTCCCCACTCCCCCATCCCTTCAACAGTCTCATTAGCATCCTTACCAAACTTATCCATCCCCTTCCCCATTCCCTCTGCCACTCTCCCTCCCCATTCCCCCACTCCTTCCATACTCGCTTTAACCTCTTCTGCCTTACCTTCTCCCCATCGGTTCAATCCCTCCCCCATCCCTTCGACGGCCTCCGCATTCCTCTCCCCCCACTTACTCATCCCTTCCATATGCTCCTGTACCGCCTTCCCAGAACTCTCCCCCCACGCCTTCCCAGAACTCTCCTCCCACGCCTTCACAGCCTTGCCCACATCCTCTCTCCATGCCTTCACCGCCTCATCCGCCCCCTCCCACCATCTCTGCATCGCCTCTACACTGCCTGCCAAAGCTTTATTCGCCTCCTCCCCCCACCGGCCCATACCTTCAAGCACTCCTTTGAACGCCTCTGCCACGGACTCACAGGACTGACAGAGGAGTTGGAGGAGGTGGTGAGCGATGGGGAGGAGCAGCGGGATGAGCTGCAGGAGAAACCGAACCACGAAGTGCGATTCAGGAGGGGTGAAGTTGAGCAGCAGAAACATACAAAGCTCGGACATGCTGAAAGGTGAAAGGCGCGCTCCAGCTGAATTGAGGTCGGTGGAAGGAGGTGACTGGGATTCATCACTGCTCTCCAAGTTCATTCTGTGCTTCGAATCCTGAACCTGCGCTTCCGACGTCTTCATCTCGTCATCATTCCTCTCGCTGCTTCCTGGGGAGTCATTGGCGCCGCAGGTCTCGTCAGCACTCATGCCTTTCAACGACCCAAAGTCATCTCGCCTCTCCTTGTTCGCCTTGGAGCTCCCCATCACTGTCTCTTTCCCGCAGATGCAGCGACGCCTGGGGGGATCGCCTCACGTGATGGCGTAAGAGTCAAGACACACCAACGCAGCTCGGGACGCCTGTCAGAGAGTCCGAATTCGCGGAAGAGCCTCTGCGGCGGGACTATACCTGAATGGATGTCGATAAACCGGATTGGGATGAGATAAATCGATAAAAAAGTAGTCCGTGCTCTGATAACAGCGACTCACTGGGGAAGGGAATGGCCCAAACCTCTCGAGAGTTGCCTTATGAGACGAAAGGACTGAGCTGCGAAAGGCTGGCTCGCTGGCGGTGAGAGCCGAAGCGGGACAGACCAACATGGCGGCACGCACGCAATGGGTGGAAATCTGGTGGCGAGGAATAGCGAACAATGAGTGAAGGATAATCATGGCTTGGACTCAAGCGCAGCGAACCAGACAGGCACATTTCGGATAAAAAATCGGTTCTATGATCACACGAGAGAGCGCCACATGGAAGAGCACGAGCGGGCACGTAAGTAAGGCGAGGAGGTGCAATTGCGAGACGCGACGGACGCGCGTCATGCAAAATGGGAGCTCTGCAGGCGTGAAGAAGACGGGCGATGCTCCTATTCAGGCTGAGGCGGGACCTGAGCTAAACCCTAAACCCTAAACCCTGAGCTAGGGCACTGGGAAGAGAGATTCGCGGGTTTGAATCCGCTTTTGTACGACGGAGGAATCTGTGCTGTGATCTCCACAGACACTCGCCATTGAGTACTAGCATACTGTTCGAATCTACTGGTACATGGAAACTTCTAGTATTTCCTGTACTGATTATTGCAATCATACAGCCAATGCTTTCATCAAAATACCGTATTTAAGCGTCCCTCTTCATAGCTTCAATTCACCAACTTATGTAAGGATGCAATGAAGAGCCCAAAGACGTATGTACGAACCATTGCATACACAATAGCCACAATAATCGTTGAAAACAAAATATTCCACATTCTTCGCAATATCCTAAATCCTCCCACCGACAACAGCCTACTTCTTCTTGCCAACCTTGCCCTCCTTGCGCCGAATGACCTCGTCCGCATACTTGATTCCCTTGCCCTTGTACGGCTCCGGCTCCCTCCACTTGCGCACCGCCGCTGAGAAGTCACCCACTGCCACCTTGTCCCGCCCGCTGATGGTGATGCGCGTGTTCTCCTCCACCTTCACACTCACTCCGTCGGGGACCTTCATGCGCACCTGGTTGGGGGGACAAGACAGAGGGTGTAAAAGAGGAGGTGGGGCTACAACAATTCACCCACTGCCACCTTGTCCCGCCCGCTGATGGTGATGCGCGTGTTCCCCTCCATCTTCACTGCGACACCGTCAGGGACTTTCATACAGACCTAAATTAGGGAGAACACCGGGGAGTGGAGAGAAGGTGAAGCTGTAAATAAGTCACCAGCAGAACCACCTTGTGATGGTGATGCGCGTGTTCTCCTCCACATTCACCGCCACGCCCTCTGGGACCTTCATGCGGATCCGTCACATCGGGAGAGGGAGGGAAGGAGTGGAGAGTAGAGGAGCGGAGAGGAGGTGAAGATGATGAGTGGTCAGCCTCTGGCTCATTGTTCTGCATGCTGGCAATGATGCGTGTGCTTTGCCCACCTTCAAGCTCATGCCCAGCCCAAGGAAACTTTCGTGCGGACCTGAAAGGTGGGTGGGAATAACACGAAAAGGACAGCCTGCAGCTGGTGAAACAAGTGTTCTCTAAACCTTCACACCCATTCCCTGAGGTTTGCCGTGCTATGGGGGCATTAGGAGGGTACATGGTGACAGATGTGTGTAGTTTGACCTCCCCACCACTTAGAATTGCTGTGTGAACCTTGTGGCAAAGGGCAATGCGAGGAAATGAGGCAATGGATGGACGGGACGGGAGAAGCGTCGAACTGAGGTCAATAGGGAATACATCCTTGCTATGTTCCTCCTTCGCACCACTGCAACATTCCCAAGTACCATGCATGCAATGGTGGGGTGGGACCGTGGCCAATAGGCACAGTGAAAACAGGGGTCACAAAGATAGCATGGTAGCTAATAAATCCCTTTCTTTTCCTCCGTTCAGCACTCCGCGTAGAACGTGGAACCTATGTCGTGGCACTTTGCAACAAGCTATGAACCTTCTTGCGTTTGTACGTTTTGCAAAAAAAGTCCCCGGGCCGTGTGTGTGCACCTTTTCCTGTATGAACCTTCGTTTTCCACGCTTGCATGTGAGAATGACAAGTTGATAACGCAGCACGAGCATATGGGTGACCTGCATGCTTGTATGTAAGCCAGTCATACCAGCAGATGCCTCACCTGGTGCGAGAGGCCCAGGTTGAGAACAAGCTCTGTCAAGCTCTGTCTTTGTCAACAGCCGTGTAATACCCCACTTAAAGCCTAGTGTAAACATCGTGTGCTGCAATTTGCACCAGTTTCACGCCGAGGTGACCTGCGGTCGACTGAAGACCGACCTAGCGCGAGAGACCCAGTTTGAGAACAAGCTCCGTCTTGTCAACGGCCGCACGGCACCTCACTTGATGCCTAGTGCAGTACATCGCGTGGTGGATTTTGCACCTGTGCGGTTTCATGCCGAGATGACTTGTGTTGTGAGTCGACTTAAGTCTCACCTGGTGCGAGAGACCTAGGTTGAGAACGAGCTCTGTCTTGTCAACGGCGGCACGGTACCTTCCACCAGCTGCACGATACCCCACTTAAAGCCCAGTTTAAATATCGTGGAGACTCACCTGGTGCGAGAGACCAAGGTTGAGAACAAGCTCCGTCTTGTCAACGGCCGCACGGTACCCCACTCCCACCAGCTGCAGCTTCTTCTCAAACCCCTTCGCCACGCCCTGCACCATGTTGTCCGTCAGCGTGCTGCAGGAAAGGCGATGAAAGGGTAAGGAGGGGGGGTAAGGATAAGGGCAGACGGGAAGTTGTGACGCGTGTGCTAAGGATAATAGCAGCAATTCTTTTCAAACCCCTTGGCCACGCCCTGCACCATGTTGTCCGTCAGCGTGCTGCAGCAGAAAGCAAGGGGTCAGGTGGGGGGAATGGGGGACAAGAGGGGATGTTGTGACGCGAGTGCTAACGAGAATAGCTGCAGCTTCTTCTCAAACCCCTTGGCCACGCCCTGCACCATGTTGTACGTCAGCGTGCTGCAGCAAAGGGGGAGGTGGGGGGATCAGTTGGTGCTTGGGGAGCTGGGACGCTTGCGAGGGTGGGAGTAGAGATGTTCGGGTGGGTAGAAATGAAGGGGGAAACGGGGAGCGGGGTGCGAGAGAGGGGGGAAGTGGCGGAGGCAGAAAAAAAAGGAATACGCAGGGAATGCAGATAAGCGGGAAAAACGCAGAAGTAATGGGAAGGAAGGAAGTGAGGGATTGGGAGGAGGAAGCGAGGGAGTGGGCGGACGAAGCGAGGGGATAAATGAGAGCAAGAAATAATGCGGAAATGTCAGGACCAGAATATGCTGCTGCTACTGCTCCATCTGCTGTTACTCCCTGCCAAAGCTGTTGCTAGTGCTGCAAGAAGCAAGAGAAACACCCGCTACGTATTGAATTCAGCTCCGTGAACAAGACGCGCTGCGTCCCTCAAACACCTCCGCCCGTCAAACAACACCATTGAAACGCGTCCCGCAGCTTGCCGCTTCCTACTACTGCTTCCCACGACGCCGACCGCTTCTATCGCATGGCCTCTTCGCTACCTCCTAGACCCCCAATCCTCCCAGCTGGGGCTACTCCCACGTGCAAGCATGCGGTTTTCAGCCCTAGTCCCGCCGACACGATACGAGAGCCCTGCTTCCGCCTGGCTGTGTCCCACGAGCAACCATGCGTTATTTTTCAACCCTAGTCACTTTCCGCTGACCGCCGCTGACTATCTCGGTTGCTGCCGCCTGTTCGCCACAACAGGTGCTATTGTAAGTGACGGCTTCGAGTTTACGCGGCTCCCATAGCCGTTAAGCCGAAGCAGCTTCGCACGGTGACGGTGACGATGAGAATATGGCGAAGGTTGGCGGTTTCTGATGCAACAGATTGGCCGCAACCTCACTGAAAAGATCGGGAGAAGCTCAGCGAGAAGGACTCACCGGAAGAGTCCGTGCATGGCGCGAGCCTGTCGCGTCTCGAGCGCGCGGTTGACGGTGATGACGCCACCCTCCTCGCTCAGCCGCACCTCCCGCGGGTACTCCCTTGACAGCTCGCCGTTAGGGCCCTTCACCACTAACGACTGGCCGTCAAGTTTGAACGTCACGCCGGCCGGCACGGGGATGGGTTTCCGGCCGATTCGTGACTCCTTGCAGACAATGCGGCCGGCTAGCAGGCCTTGCTGGTTGAGGGTCTGGGAGGAGGCTGCCGCTGACGTGGCACGCAGTGATTGGGCCTCGCCAATGAACGAACTCCTGAGAGGACAGACGAGGCGAGACACACAGCAAGACACGGAATAGGGATCGGACAGGAAGAAAAGGGAGGGAAGGAGGACATGGAGCGTGACGGGCGGGAACCATGAGTACAGTGAAAGAAGAAACGGAGAGAAGAGATGAAGAGTAGTGGCGGGAGAGGAGGGACGCATTAGGGGCGAGCCCCGACAGGTCTTGGTAGAGAGAAAATGGAGAAATAGAAAACAAAAACGAGCTGAACAACCGAGTTTGGCGAGGGCTGTGGATGAAATGAGACAATCGTAAAAACCGGGGTTTTGAAAGCAAGGCGTCTAAAGCACGCTACACTGCACCCCCTCAACGCTACTCGGTCGAATCTAAATAACGGAGTTCCTAAACCTGTCCTCTTCGTTTGACGTCCGGCGAAACATGGAAAACCTAGTCAATGTCGGGTAGAGCAGACTACGAGAGTCGAGCCGCCATGGTGGCTGGAGCGTCATGCAACAGCCTAAATAGTAGCGCAATATTTTGAAAAATCGTATCGGTCGGGTTCACGAGCTCGCATATGGCGAAGATATACGACGACGGTACGTGTAGAGAGTAGCCTGCATCCACCAATGACAGCTCAGCGTTGATTCCTTGTATCATCGCGTGAAGACCTAAAATCCAAAAGAATGAGGAGTCTCCACCAAAGCTGACCTCACTACTGTCAATGCAACGAGCTGGCGAAAAGCAATCCTTAATTCTGGCACGTCCTGTCTCGAATCGGCTCAGGTGGTGACTAAACCAGCCTCAGGCCCCGTAAACCCGCACCTCAAGGTTACTCTGTCAATGGTGGCAGACTGTAGCACCGCAGACCCCGCCATGGCGACGCGGCTTGGCTGGCGCGGTTCTAGAGTTGTGCAAAAAGGGTGAGAGTTACGCTAAGAGGCTTTCTGGAACAACCCCTTAGGTAATTTTGAGGAAGTGGGCAGTGGATTGGAGAGCTCCTAGCGGAGAGGACGGAGAGGGAACAAAGGGAACGGGGAAGAACGAGGGGAAGGGGAAGGGGAAGGGGAAGGGGAATGAAGGGAAGTGAGGGGGAAGAGTCACCGCCACGGGAAAACATGGGGATAATAGGACGTTGAGGAGGGGTAATGATGGGTAAGAGGAGGCTAGGCGGGGGAAGGGGAAGGGGATGGAGAAGGGGGGATGCGGAGCGGATGCTCGCGGAAGGGGGGGTTGTGGAATCACAAGCCATGATAGTTGCGGGGATGAGGTTCGGGATGAGAAAATGAGGACGTGGCCCACTCTTTGTGAAGCAGGCTGACGTGACAAGAAGCCTGTGGCTGTACCCTTTTTAGGGACGCGAGATAAAACGTGTAATCTATCCAGCAAAACAAGGGAAAGGAAAACACTTGGTAATCTAACATAGTGTCAAGTTCATCCATGTTTGTATTTGTGAGGAAATTCCTTTTCTCCTTATTCCCTGTCATCCTGTAAATTATGTACACGGATTGCCAGTCTTGTGAAAGACTCCAATCAACTATTTTCATGTAATTGCGCTCGACACTAGGCATTTGTGCAGCCCCCCACATTTGGCAATTTATTCGGACTTTTGCTGCAAATATTCACTAATGTATACGCTCACATGCTGTCAATCCTTTATCATTAGTGCAATTCTTGCTCGCTCATCCAATTGCAGCCATAACAATTGGTAACACGGCTGGTTCAAATCTCTTCCGCTAGGGGGGAAGAGAGATGGTTTGGAGAGAGGGAGGGGCGGTGAACTTCCTTTACCATCAACCCGTCGTTAGTGTCAGAGGTCCACTAGTAATCCCCGATTGATCTTAGGGAAGGGTTACAGGCACGTTGGCCTGGGGGGTTATGGGAGCACTCACCCGTTACACAAACAAGCCCTTTTATCACAGTGGTTAGTGGCTGGGATTCTGACAGTTAGCCAATGTCGCCACCCCCTCAACCTCCCACATGGCGGCAATCGCAGCAGGGCGCGACGGGTCGGGACGCTTCACGAAGCGGGAGAGCAAATGGTTCCTGTTTCTCCACCTCCTCCACTCCACCTTCTCCACTTCCACCTCCTTTACACCGTGCTGCTATCACACCCTATGTGGCTCTTGCATCAATCACATGTGGGGAGGATCTCACTATGTGCTGCCTCACACCCACAGCACTGCACAGGTGCCTTGCTGCTAGCGTACGATATGAGAGTGACCTCATATGCCACCACCCCCACTGCATTGTTGTTCCTCCTCCACCTTCACTCCGCCTCGCCCTTGCTGGCGCCCCCTCCCACTGACGACACCCCAAACCCATATACTGCCTGGTGGAAGGCCGGCCACGCAGGCTTGGGGGAGAGAAAACTGCGCCTTGAGGGGGAAGGGGGGAGAGGTGGGGATAAGGAGGTTTTATAACACCAGGAGAAAATGGTGACCATGCATGAGAGGAAACCGAGCGTTGAGGGGAAGGGGGGGAAGGATATGGGCAGGGAGGAGTGGGGAGAAGGTGGGGAAGGGAAGGGAGGGTTGGAGTGGGAATGAAAGGTGACAAGGGAAAAAAGGTGACGAGAAGGGGGGATGAGCTGATTTGAGGGATGGTTCATGAAAGGTCTAGAAGGCAAAACGAGGAAGAGGATAAGAGAAGGGCAAGTGGTGGGTTTCTGTCAGTGAGAGGGGAAGGGTTTTTGTGGAAGGAGCAAAAAGAGAAAAAAGAAGCAAAGAGAGATGACATAGCAAAGAAGCAGCAAAGTGAAGAGCGAGAGAAAAAAGAAGCGACGAGAAGAGCAAGATAAAAAGAAGCGATTAGAAGGGCAAGAGAAAAACAAAAGCGAAGAGAAGCAAGAGAGTGGGGTTGTGTCAGTGAGAACCGGGGAAGGAAACGAGGTGACTGGGTAGGACCTTCCGACTTGTGCTGTGAGTGATGTGATCATGGTGGTGTATGCATAGAGGAGGGGAGAAGGAGGATGAAAGGGAAACGAGCAGGCTGCGCGATTTTGGTTGGTGAGAAGGTAAATACAGAAAGTTTGAAATGGGTCACTTCATATGAATGTGCATGCGTGCACGCGCGCATGTGTGTGTGTATGTTTGTTTGTGTGTGTATGTGTGTGTGTATGTTTGTTTGTGTGTGTATGTGTGTGTGTGTATGTGTGTGTGTGTGAGCGCGTGCATGTGTGCATGCGCGCATGCGTTCGTGTGTGTGTGTGTGTTGTTGTCCACATACACATCAAACCGAGTCACCTTGTATATAGATCGTCCCCACCAGTACCGACAGTTAGATGCACCATGCCATAGGGGTCCTGGGCGTTCTTGTAGAGAGGCAGCTGGGGAGATGCAAAAGTGGAAGATGGAAGCAACGACAAATACGCACAGAGTTTTGAATTTATCCAAGGAGCGTGCAACAGCAGCAGTGAGATGCAGCTTGGCACAGGTTGAGGGGGGTGCTGGGAAGGCGATGCGAGTGAACAAGTCTGTTTTTGATTCGAATAAAAAACAGACTCATCACAGCGAGATGCAGCTTGGCACGGGTCGAGGAGGGGGCTGGGAAGGCGACACGAGCGGACAAGAGGAGGGGAGTGTTGACAAGAGAGAGGGGAGGTTGCGGGAATATAGAAGATGGCAGGGTGAGGGTGCAGTAGTGTCCACAAACCACATCAGCCTTGGCTGCACATTAGCATCAGCTCCAATGCCCCTCACATGTTCAGGAGCATGCCGGCATGCAGAACCCACCATTGAGCGTTGCACACTCACCATGCGCTCATGCATATGCATATGAATGTGCGGGCGGGCACCATACATACGTCATCTGCCCTACCGGCCCGTCTTCTCACCACGCCACACGCACACCACGCCACTCTCCAACTCACCGTGCGCTCATAAGCGTGCACGTGCCCACACACCACCACGTCCGTGTGCGCATCGTACATCAACTTCTCCAGTGAAAGCCGCGTTTGAAGGAGCTTCAGAAGTCAGCTCATCGTGCGCTCATTAGCGTGCACATGGCCGCACACCACCACGTCCATGCGCATGCCCACATGCATGCCCGTGTGCATGTCTGCATCCATGCCCGTGTGCATGTCTGCATCCATGCCCGTGTGCATGTCCACATGCATGCCCATGCACGCGCATGCCCACGTGCATGCAGCGCAACGTTCTCACACTCACCGTGCATTCATAGGCGTGCACGTGCCCGCACACCACCACATCAGTGCGAGCATCATAAAGCAGCTTCTCCAGCGCCAGGCACCTTCTAAGGTGCCTCACACTCACCGTGCGCTCGTAGGAATGCACGTGGCCGCACACCACCACGTCCGTGCGGGCATCATACAGCATCTTCTCAAGAGCCACCCGCATGGCCTCGCCGCTGAGATGGTGGTCCTTGTTGCTGTGATACCACGCCTCGTGGAACACCACTATCAACTACGGTGTTACCTTGCGGTTCACCTTGGCTAGGTCCGCCTGGGGAGGGTATGAGTGAGGAGGGTACGTGGGGGGAGGGGTGGGGAAGGGGTTTGAAGGAAGGGAGGAGAGGAGCAATGCAAAGACACGGTGTCACTCTGCGAACCACCCGAGGGGTGGGAGAAGTTTGGAAAGAAGGGGGGAGAGGAGCAATGCAAAGCCACGGCGTCATCATGCGGTCTGTTAGAATCCCAGCCATTACACCACTGGATAAAATAGATTGTTAAATAGCGAATGAGTGCGCCCATAACCCCCCAAACAAGCGGGCCTAATAACCCTTTCTTAGAATCAATCGAGGATCCCCAGTGCAGGTCTTCTACCTTCCCCCCCCCCCCCCCCCCCCCCCCCCCCCCTCCCCCCGCCCCCTTTCACTAGGATGCCTAAGGACACGGCACAACGGCAGCGACACATGGGCACCAGAATGTGCGCACATGTAGATTCGAACCCGAGTTCGCTATGGTACCATGTCAGGATCCTAGCCAATACACCCCTGGGATAAAATGACTTGTTGTTAACTAGCGGGTGAATGCACCATAAGGGTGCGTAACCATTTTGCACCCGACGGAACGAACCGTGGACCGTTCGTCGTGGCGAAAGGTTACCATTTTCGTTTAATGTCCTTTAGTTCTTCGCGAGGACATTTGCGACGTCGCTAAAAATTCGAACTGTCATGACACTTTTTCCGCTTTCCAACGACATGAAACTCCGACATCGGACTGTCCGAGTCACAAACGGACTGTCCACCTGTCCACGCACGCGATTGTCGGGCGAAATTGAATTTCGACAGACCGCCTCACCAAAACATGAAAAAATGCGACTCGGATGCAAATATTGACATTGACCAATCACAACTAGCCATACTACAATACAAGAAGCCACGACATTGACCCACTACTCATCACTACTCACTTCTCTGCACAATGGATCCCTCTAGCTACGCCCAGAATACCCAGTCTAACAGCACCACTCCCAACTCCCCGCCACCAGGCTCTACCAATACTACCACTCCTGCCACAGCTGTTCCTGAAACACAAGAGTCCCAGGTACCTGGTCCTTCTGACATTGAATGGGCTTGGTTCGTACGGCCTTTTGTCAGAACTTTATAGCTTACTTATTTGTGTAGGCTATAGTGGGGTATCCCATAGGGGGTACAACCCAATTAGGGTTTCATATTTGTACTCACTTCATTCATAGTTGATTCATTCTCGTTCAGTTTTTCACATGGTATAGAGCAGGTTCCCCTGTGGGAACTGTGCCTAGGGCCCACCACTCGAAATCTTTTTTTCTGCCCGAAGCGCACTCATCCCGAGTCGCGCCTCGGGCCACTCCTTCCCCGAGCCGCCCTAGCGGCCGGCCTTACCCTCGCGGCCCCGCCACCCAGTGAACGCGGCCCCGCCGCCTCTTCTCTCGCGGCCCCGCTGCCCAAGCGCTCGCGGCCCCCGCCGTCCCTGATCTCGCGGCCCCGCCGCCCGAGCGCTCCCGGCCCCGCCGCCCCTGATACGCGGCCCCGCCGCCCCAGCGCCCGCGACCCCGCCGTCCCTGATCTCACGGCCCCGCCGCCCCAGCGCTCACGGCCCTGCCGCCCCTGATCTCGCGGCCCCGCCGCCCCAGCGCTCCCGGCCCCGCCGCCCCTGTTACGCGGCCCCGCCGCCCCAGCGCCCGCGGCCCCGCCGTCCATGATCTCACGGCCCCGCCGCCCCAGCGCTCACGGCCCCGCCGCCCCTGATCTCGCGGCCCCGCCGCCCCAGTGCTCCCGGCCCCGCCGCCCCTGTTACGCGGCCCCTGCCGCCCCTGGTCTCGCGGCCCCGCCGCCCTAGCACTAACGGCCCCGCCGCCCCTTGCTCTCGCGCCGTCCGACTGCAGCAGCCGAGCCGCCCACCTGCAGCAGCCGAGCCGCCCGGAGCAGCCGAGCCGCCCAGGAGGCGCCGAGCCGCCCAGCAGCAGCCGAGCCGCCCAGCAGCAGCCGAGCCGCCCGAAGCCGCCGAGCCGCCCAGCAGCAGCCGAGCCGCCCAGCAGCAGCCGAGCCGCCCAGGAGCCGAGCCGCCCAGCAGCCTAGCGGCCGTTTCGCCAGGCGACCTTCCTCCCGAGCCGCCCGACCTGCCCTGCCCGGTGAGCACTGCACTGCTGTCACTGCGTACCCTTCCCCTACTGCTTGCACTGCTCCACTGTCGTCGTCATGGCTACACCCAGTGTCCTCGTTTTTGACGCTGAGGGTCGAGCCATTGACTTTGAGGTCTGGCTCGACGACCTGCAGCTGTTTTTACAGTGCGACAGGGCCGACGGTCTGTCTCTCTTTGACCTCACCTCTGGCGCCGTCCCTGCCCCTGCTGCTGATGCTGACGCCACTGTTCGCTCTCAGTGGGCCACGCGCGATGCTGTTGCACGTCTTGCTGTGCGTCGCCACCTGCCTACCGCTGAGCGCGTGCACTTTAGCCAGTACAAGAGTGCTCAGACCTTGTACGACGCTGTAGTTGCGCGCTACTCCTCCCCTGCCACTGCTGCACTGAGCCGCCTCATGCTCCCCTTCCTCTTCCCTGACCTTGCTGCCTTTCCCACTATCGCTGATCTCATCACGCACCTCCGCACTAGTGACACTCCCTACCGCGCTGCGCTTCCTGCTGACTTCTGCGCCAAGAACCCCCCCCCCCATGTACATCACTCTCTACTTCTTAGTCACTCGCCTCCCTGACTCCCTTCGTGTAGTCCGGGACCACTTCCTCGCGGTCTGTCCCACCACCCTCATAGTCGACAGCCTCGAGAAGGCCCTCCTTGCAGCAAAGAAGAGCATAGTTGCTGTAGGAGCCTCTCGGGGTGACCCCCGCGCCCCCATCTTTGAGGGGTGTTCTCCTTCCCCTCTCCTGCCCTCTGTCGCCTCTGCCGCTGCGGCCGACCTCGTTGGTCTTGAGTCGGTCGGTGCGGCGTCTGCACCTAGCGGGAGACGCCGCTCTGGCAAGGGCAAGGAGGGCAAGGGAGCGGGTGGGGCCAGTGGGGGCGGTGGCGGTGGAGGTGGAGGCGGCGGAGGGAGTGGGGGTGGCGGTGGAGGTGGTAGCGGGGGTGGGGGTGCTAGTGGCAGCAGTGGAGGCGGGAGTGGCGGCGGCGGTGGCGGTGGTAGCGGAGGTGGCGGAGGTGGCAGCGGTGGAGGTGGAGGCGGGGGCGGTGGAGGCGGAGGCGGGGGTGGCGGAGGTGGAGGTGGTCGGAGTGGAGCTTCGCAGCGGAGCGGCACTGGTGGCGGTCAGCGCCAGCAGCAGCAGCAGCAGCAGCAGCAGCAGCGTTCTCGCGACGTCCCCACCCCTCAGCAGCTCCGTGAGTGGTACACGCAGCGTCAGCGCGGTGGGGGTTTTGGTCCCTGCACCTACGTTCTCCGCACTGGCGACCGCACTGGAGAGCAGTGTGGGGGTGCCCACTCCGCCCAGCGCTGCTTTGGCCGCCTGACGGACGCTTGGCGTCAGCAGTTCCCGGAGGCCGCGGAGATCCCCCGCTGGGAGGAGCTGTCTAGGGCTGGTGTAGCTATCTTTGATCTTGATTTTGATGCTATCCTTGCTGCCATGTATGCTGTGACCATTAGTGAGGAGGGTGACTGTTACCGGTGTTTCCCGCCCGACCCGGGCATTGGTACTGCTGCTCCAGGTGCCGGTGAGGCTTCTGCTCTAGGTGCCAGTGCGTCTGTGCTCTCAGGTGCTCGTGAGACTGCTCTCTCAGGTACTAGTGCGTCTGCGCTCTCAGGTACTGCGTCGGCTTCGGCCTCCCACACCTTCACTCTTGACTCAGGAGCGTCTCGCTCTTTTTTTCGGGACCGCACCACACTTACGCCGCTTAGTCGGCCGGTTGCGGTTTCCCTGGCTGACCCCTCAGGGGGTCCTGTCCTGGCTCGCTTCTCCACGGTCCTCCTGTGTCCGGCGGCTCCCTCTGGCACCCTGTCTGGTCTCTACCTCCCCTCGTTCTCTACGAACTTGGTGAGTGGTGCTGACCTACAGGATGTGGGAGTCCACCAGTTCACCCCTGCTAGTCAGCGAGTGACGCACTGCACGGAGGCTAGCACGGGTCGTCACCTGGCTACGTTTACACGTCAGCCAGGGTCGAGCCTGTACACACTGACCACTGCTTCTCCTCCAGGTGCTGAGTCTGGTAGAGTCCCTTCGTCTCGTCAGGTGTTTGCTGCAGCGTCCAGGTCTGGTCCTGAGTCTGCCCCCTGTTCGTGTCGCCGTCTGTCTACCGAGACCCTCTTCTGGCACCACCGTCTTGGCCACCCCTCTCTGCTTCGGCTCAGAGGCATGGCCTCCCGTCTTCTTGTGTCTGGTCTCCCCCGGTCTCTACCTCCCCTTCCTCAGGGCCCTGGCCCTGCCTGTGTCCCCTGTGTCAAGGGGCGCCAGCGTGCTGCCCCTCACTCCTCCCAGTTTCCTCCGACAGAGGCTCCGTTGCAGACGCTTCACATGGACGTGTGGGGCCCTGCCCGCGTCCGTGGACTCGGTCACGAGCGCTACTTCCTGCTGGTGGTTGATGACTACTCGCGTTACACCACAGTCTTCCCCTTGCGCAGCAAGGGTGATGTCACTGAGGTGCTGATCGACTGGATCCGCGCAGCTCGTCTCCAGCTCAGGCAGAGCTTTGGCTCGGACTTTCCTGTGTTGCGTCTGCACTCGGACAGAGGCGGAGAGTTCTCCTCTGGCCTTCTACGTGCCTACTGTCGTGCGCGAGGCATCCGCCAGACCTTCACGCTTCCGGACTCCTCGCAGCAAAATGGGATTGCAGAGCGCCGCATTGGCATGGTCATGGACGTCGCTCGTACGTCCATGATGCATGCGGCTGCCCCCCATTTTCTGTGGCCGTTTGCGGTCAGGTACGCAGCGCATCAGATCAACCTCCACCCCAGGGTC